TGCTGCTAAAAGTGCAGCAAATATACATGTTACATTGGCCATCAGCAGCAGTACAACAGCCTAACTCCCCCTCGACAAAGTTACCCCAAACTGAATAAAGGCAGAATTGTACAACTTTGTCTTACAGTCAGCAGCAAATCTAACAAGCTCTAGTTTTAAAGGATAAATGAAAGATGAAGAACTACAAACTACCTCTTAAGGTAAGAATTTTTAGATAGTATCACAAAAAAAGGTATTCAGATTTTGCATATCTGGCCACTGAAAACTGCTGAAATTGAAGATAAAATCAAGCATGACCTGGAACACCAGAAGGTAAAGCAAACAGAGTCAGTTTGGATCCATCCACAAGAAGGCTGAAATCATGAGTGATACCTCTCTTAAGCTTCCTAGCTAATTCTTGTTAGCATGAATGAATGATATTGAAGTTGGTTTTCAATTTTAAGATATTATGTACATTACAGAAGCATGCCACCTTGCTTGTTTAGATGGACGCTATTGTATCTCTTTACTGCCATTAGATATTAGAAGTACAGTTACAGTCATCAGAAAGGACTATGAAGACATGCCATTTTAATTTTGAACCACTGGTGATCTTGTCAATGCTTAGGATCATAACTATCTATTTTAATAGCAAAGAGGATTTCTTGGTTTTTTTTTTCTTTTTTAATTCTTCTTTTCACTTCAGCTCTTTGCAGAAGCAATGGAGCTGTAAAAACAGCCTCAGACCTATGATGGCTCAAGTTAACAGCAATATTGTAAGTTTCTGCTGCAAAACATTCATTAAAAGCAAAGACAGCTTGACTTTCAGAGACAGAGTTAGAGGGCTGTCATGTAAAGAAAAAAAAAAATTACATTCTTACTGGATGTGGAATTCTCTGAGACAATGAATACAGAAACCTGTACTGACATTTTTGGTCAGTCTCCTGAACATAACTAATAATCAGATAGACTGCTGTTTCACAACCTGGGCTGCAATTTACAGTTATACATAAGGCAGAGTTCCCACCTCACCACACCAGAAGCGCAAATAAAAAGTGAGATGAGCAGAGGGATGTGAACAGTGGGAAAAATCAAATTCTAGCAGAAATGCAGAGATGGGTGAACATTAGAAAGCTTAGAGCTTTTTTCTTTTGTTAGCTAAATTTGGAATTGAGTAGAGAGAACTGATCCTCACCTATGAGGAATGGCATTGCCCCACAGGGAGCCAGAGGAAAAGCTGCCAGCCTATGGAGACACAGCTTCAGAGAAGTACCAATGACCAAAAGTTCAGAAGTGTTGCCTGCCTCCAATCAAAAAAGTTCCTCTACCTTAGCCATGTCTTTTAAAGTTGGCAAATCTAGTGTAACAGAACTTGGAGTGTCAAATCATATTATTGTAAATCCAGAAGCACAAAAGCTGAAAGCATGTAATTTCAAAATTAGTAGAAATGGCAAAAGAAAGCAACAAACAGGAAAAGACAAATGATACTAAAATATTAACAAAGTTACAAGCTTGAGTGAGAATACTATATTTTCTTTACAAGTAATAGGAAGCTGTTTCGTTGTGATTCCGTTAGCACTTCCGATATGTACACTGGGGGTAGTGTTCTGTGTGTTATGGCTGGTTATATATTTCTCAAAAGTTAATCCACTTTGAAATTTATTAAGCAGTAAAACTAAAATTCTATTAACCTTAATGGGATTTACACAAGGGAATTCACACTTAATACGAATGCAACACCAACACTTAAAACTGCTGCCAGGAAGAAAAAGACAGGCTCAGTGGAGTAAAGCAAAGCCGTCGCATTTTCTATTTATGTAGTCATTGACAAGGGTAATCCTCTGTGTATTAAGGAGGGAGGAAAAAAAAACACAGACTCAGATGCCAAACGAGATAACTTCATATGCCAATAAAGGGTTGTCTTACTTGTGTGGGACTAACGAACATTGGTAGAAGGATGGGATGGCATTATTTGGATTTCCTATGGGTCCTGAAAGTGCTATTGCTCACATTTTCTACTGCATAATGCTGTACAACAACACTGCTGTTGGAATATATTCCCTGTAATATAACACACATGTAATATAATGAATGCAAATTCACATTCTTCCTGTACCAGCCATTACTCACAACTATACTAAAGTAAAACTCATATTTTTCCCACAAGGATATTTATCTATTGTTTCCAGGGTAAAATTAATTGTGGACTAACCTCTAAATCATCTAGTTAACACATGGGAGATGATTAACTTTGTTTGGAAAGGCTGAGTAATCCTGAATATGTGATCCTGAATTCATTTTTCCAAGAAGAAAATTATTGTTGCATGCAACGTACCAAAATCTAAGATTGTTGAAGAGCTGAGATTTCAATGGCAGAGAACAGGAGGTCCTGAGTTTTGTTTAAATGGTTCCAGTTAGTGGTGGATTAAGGAGTGGGAGCTGCACAGAAAAACAGGGACCCTCTGCTTGATTCCTCACCTGGGGCAGGGAAAACAGCACTCAGAGCAGACCCTGCTGCAGCAGGGACAGCAGAGGCTGGGAAGAATTTTGGCTTCTGCAGGTACAACTGTAGGACTCCCTGGGCTTTCAAGCTTTGTGGTGTGAAACACAGGAGCTGTAACGAGCAGTTAACTCCTCTGAGGATGGCCACAGTTAAGAACTTGGGAGCCTCACGTCCTCGACAGGACTTGCCCAGGAGCCGGCAGCTCAGCTGACCAGAGCGAGCAGGGACTCACAGGGGGCGGTGCCCGGAGGAGCGGCACCAGCCCTGGCTGGTTAAAAACCTGCCCCGGGGATCGCGGCGACCAGGGCGGGTGGAGGCAGTTAGCGCGGGCAGGCCTGCGGGATGGGGAACGCTCGCCTCATGACCAGGGCCTGGTCTGGGAGCTGGGCTCCGGGTGCCCCGGCGGTGGCCAGCGTAGGCACCCAGACAGAGCCGATGAGAGGGGAGGCTGCAGTGCAGAGGTCGGAGTGTAGAGGGTGCCTGCACTGGGCTTGTGAGGGGAAGGTGCACAATGGGCAGGGCTGCACCCGGTGCTCCCTGGTGGAGGTCCTCCTGCAGCAGGGGCTGAGGTGCGGGATGCTGTCAATAGACTGCGAGATGTCAGGGAAGCTGAGAGGAAGCAGGACTGCTTGCTGCAGGCCCAAACTGTGCAGGGGCCTCAAGCGTCCCCTATAGTTCACGGAGGAAAGAAGGAGGCCGTTAACCCAGGAAGCTGGGGAACAGCACCAACAAAAAAAAACACAACAAAAAAAAAAGGAGGAAGAAGACTATTAAAACCAAGGGGCTTCCTCGTAAATCTGTTGTCCCCACCCAGAACCGCTTTGCTGTCCTGCGGGGGGCTGATGAGGAAACACTTGCACCAGAAACAGCCGGCTGGGGCACTGCTAAAGAAGATCACTACTGGTGCTGCCGGGAAAAAGCAGCGGGTCATAGTAGTAGGGGACTCCGAAAGGCACAGAGGCACCCATCTGTCAGCCTGACCCATTCTCAAGGGAGGTGTGTTGCCTACCAGGGGCACGGATCAGAGATGTTGCAGAGAGGCTACCTGCTCTTTTAAGTCTCACTGACTATTACCCACTTCTAGTGATCTATGTGGGTGCTAGTGATACAGATAGCAGTAGCCTGGAGAACATAAAGAAGGACTACAGAGCCCTAGGAGAGGTGGTTAGGGGCTCTGGAGCGCAGACAGTCTTCTCATCAATTCTTCAGGATACAGGGGAGGACCCCAAAAAGGCTAGGAGGATTGGCCAGGTTAATAAATGGTTAGAAGGGTGGTACCATAGTCAGGGTTTGGGTATCTTGGACACGGGACCCAAGTAAGTAGGCCAGGTCTAGTGGGGTCTGGTGGAGCTGGTCTGATAAAGAAGGGAAGAACAGTTTTGGTAGGAGGCTTGCCAGACTGCTCAAGGATGCATTAAACTAGATGTGTTGGGGGAGGGGGGCATCATTCCATCCCAACACACCCAGTCAGTTGCCAGCACCTATAATAAACGCTTGGAGCAATGTAGAGATATTCCAGCTGCTCCAGCCAATGAGCCGGCTTCATTTGGAGCTCGGCTCAGATGCCTCTATACAAACGCCCGTAGCATGGGGAACAAACAAGAGGAATTAGAGATGTGTGCACGTCTACGGGGGTCGCAGAAACGTGGTGGGATGGCTCCTATAACTGGAGTGTTGGAATGGAAGGTTGGGCAGAGAAGAGATTCAGAGCAGCCCTGCAGAGAAGGACGTGGGGGCATTGATCAATGAGAAGATGAGCAGGCAGTGTGCACTCGCAGCCCAGAAAGCCAACCGTATCCCGGGTTGCATCAAAAGGAGCGTGACCAGCAGGTCGAAGGAGGTGATCCTGCCCCTCTCCTCTGCTCTTGTGAGACCTCACCTGGAGTATTGTATGCAGTTCTGATGTCCTCAACATAAAAAGGAACATCTCCAGGGAAGGCACATTCCTCAGTGGATCAGGGACTCACGGCAGACAGTGGCATACAGTGGAGTTTTCTCGAGGCGGGGAAACCCAGGCGAGCACTGAGACCTGCTGGGAACCGGGTGGCACCACCCTAAGCTCCTGCAAAAGGCAGCGCTGGGAACACAGAGAACAGGGCATAGAAGGGTGTGCGGGGAGGACAGGCACCTCTTGGAAGGAGAGACATTCCAAGGCCGCCTGCACAGGTCCGAGCACACATGCCACGTAACCCTGAAGGAAGAAAGGTGGGCACTTATCAGAGAGCAAATGCTGCAGCTCCAGCAGGGGTGACCTACACCATCTATGTTGGTGGTGGCCAATGCCTTTGCTCAGATGGAGCGGCTGAAGGGGGTGCCTGCAGTGGAGGGGGTTGTGAGGCACTGGAACAGGATGCTCAGAGAAACTGTGGAGGTGTGGCCCTGACTTTTGTGCACTCTGGCGGCGGTGCTCCCAAAGACCGTGGCCGGGCCGACGAGGGCGGCCGGGGCGCAAAGGCTGCCCGGCAGCTCCTGACTGGCCTTTCCGCGCCGCGTGTGAAGAACACCGTGGCCTTGGAACTGTGGTTAGAACTTTAATCAGAAAGACCCATTTTCTTAAGCAGGGCTTAACTGCTGCCTGGCTTTTCAGAGGCAGCAGCACAGCGCCTGCAGCATCCATCTCCGTCTTGGCCGCGCGTGTAAACAGGTGAGGATGTGTATTGTCTGAGATGCCAGGGAGGAGACTTGGGATTCCTCATCGCTTCTCAAACCACGGAGGGCTGCAAGAGAAGGAAAGAGAGCAGAGCTGAAACCCACCAATCTGCAGAGACCAGCAGGCATCCCTTCCAGACCATGCCAGCCCCAGCCATCCCTTTCCCTGGTCAGGAGGCGCAGGTGGGGCAAACGGATCACCTGGAAGCTGCTGCTCAGGAATGCAACAAATGCCCCCGAGATGTCCCCTGGAGCAGGACAGGGCATGGCAGCACGCTGCCCAGGCTCTGTCCCCTGCCCCACCAGCCCCAGCACACACAGCACTGTCCCTGCTTACCTTCGCAAACCTCCAGGAGCGTGTCCGCGCGGCTGTCCTTCAGGCACCGAGCGGCCATCCCTGTGCAGAGAGCTCCATCAGACCTGCTGCTGCCCAGCACGCTCCCGGCAGCACGGCCCCGCCTCTGCCGGTTTGGCTGCACCCCTTCCTCCCCTCAGCAGGGTGACCCCAGGGAAGGACAGGACGCAGGGGGAGGTGGCACTGAGCAAGGTGCCACTGAGCCCCGCTGCGAGGGCAGGGGTTGGAGGGGGAAGCACAGAGCCCCTGGCTGCACAGGCCTTGCACGGGGCAGTCGATGCTCTGGCAGCCACAGGGCTGCTCCTCGCTGCCAGTGCAGCAGATGTGACTGGGGCCAGGCTGCCAAAAGAGGGACTCCAGGGGCTGCAGCTTACCGATGAACCTCACGGCTGCCAGGCGCACGCTGACCTGAGCGTGCTGCAGGTAAAGCAGGCTCTGACGCACATATTTTTCTGCTCTGCTCTGCTCCTGCTCCAGCTGGAAAGAGCACAAAGGCCCAGGGCTGACACAGACCTTCCCCAGTCGCCTGGGCCGTTCCCTCCTACCAGCACCCCACACCTCCCCTTGTTCCTCAGGCCACAGCCAGGAGCCCTGTGGGGCTGAGGTTCAGAGACAGCTGCAGGCAGAGCAGGGTCTGGAGCTCCTGAGAGCCCCCTGTGCCACTTCCAGGGCTCAGATGGGCCTCCTGCAACATCCTGAGGGTGGGGAGGTGAGAGGAGCACCCCATGTACAGCCTGGGACTTATCCTCACCAAGCACTCCACAGTTCTCCATCTCTCCAGTGCCTGCACGTGGTGACTGAGCCATTTCCATTTGAGCACCTTTGCAGCTACACAGAAGGCTTCGTGAGAGGCCTGCAGAGGGGGACAACGATTGGGGAGATTGTGGACAGGGCTTGGGGCCCAAAGCCCTGGCCCCCAGCACCTGCAGGGACAGCTGGGTAGTCCCTGGGGACTCTGCTCTTCAGGCCTTGGTGGCCATGGGCTGCTGCTGAGCCCTGCTGGACCACATAGGGCAGGCGTGGCAAATGTCCCTGCCAGCTTCTCCTGCCCTCCCTGCTGCCCAGGCAACCCCCGTGGGCTCAGCACGCCCTTCCCCACACCACTGCTCAGGTTTGCAATCTGTACCTTGGCCACACTCTCAGTCTCATCACTCATGTGCAACACGAGTGGGACCAGGCTCCCCTGCACGTTCTTCCGCATCTGCCGCTGGTGCTTCCAATCCGCCATCTGTATTACTTCTTTGAATAGGCAGATGGAGAGCTCTCGCACCTGGCTGGACACCTGGTGAGGAGGAGGAGGACAGAAGGGCGTCAGTAGCAGCAGCTCCCTGAGCAAGGGCGTCAGCGTGGCTGAGGGGAGGGGTTTCAGGTCTCCCGGAGCCATCAGCAAGTCAGGGAGAAGCTGAGCTGGGCTGCAGAGCCCAGAAGGCATCCCCGTGAGAGCGCAGGGGCATGAGGAGGGGCACAGCCCCATGCAAGTGCTGCCGCCAGGCTCTGCTAACAGGCACTTGTCCTTGCAAAGGGCCCATCAGTGAGGATCAGGCTTCCATAGCAGCCTTACATCATCAAACAGTTGCGGGAGATTCTCGGCCAGCTGCAGAGCAGTGGAGCTGTCCTTCTTCTTCAAATGACCCATCACATTTCTGAAAATGAGCAGCATCTTCTTTCTGTTCTTACTGTGGGCTGTCTGCAGCATGCATATCAAATCTGGCAGCAGGACCAGTATTTTCTTTGCCTGTACAAAGCACAGAATTCCTTGTATGTGAAGTGGCGAAGGACCACCCAGGCCAAAATGCTCTGGCCCTTAAGCACCAGACTCCCGCCTGGCTGACTGGGCAGTGGCACAGGAATCCCTGCAGCAGCCTCCTGGCAGGCCATCCCCATGGTGCACTGAGGGGATCGGGGCCTGTGACGGGACGTTGAGGGCATTTGGAGCCGTGACCCCAGCTCCCGATTCCCAGCCCTGGTCAAGCCGCCGCGTTACCCACTGCCCAGCCCCAGGAGGCCAACACGGCTTCCCTTGCCTATGCCCTGCTCACCTTGTCAGGTGACTGTGACAACGTGATGAGGCCTGTGAGCGTCAGCGAGAACAGCACCACATTTTGACACCACGGGAACTTCTCCCTGTTGTACACCCCAGCAAATGCCTCTGGTGTCACATCGCTGGAGGCCAGGAGCTGAAACAAAGATGGCAGTGAGGGACCGGCCGAGCCTGCAGGGCTCCCTGCACTGTGCAGCTCCTGGGTCCCGCTGGCAGCTCAGGACAAGGGCACCGGGGACAGAGAGCCCGTGCTGGGGGACACCAGCCGCACACCACACGCTTGTCTGTGCCGGCTCTGCTGGGGTAAGCAGAGCACTGACAGGGACTTTGTGCACCCGCACCCAAGCAGCGTGGCATGGCCCTGTGTGGCTGGCACAGGGGAACCTGGCGCTGGGCTGGCCCTAACGGGCTGCATCCCTGTTTCCCAGAGGATGTGACTGTTTGGGGGCAGATGGCAGGGAAGAGGGCTGTGCCTGTGTTTCTGGAGAGGCAGGCACAGCCCTGAGTATGAGCAAGGACTGGTCTGGTTACTCACAGCCAAGAGCTGGATGCAGGCCTCCACTCCGTGTGGGATATGAATCTCAAACATGACTGCAGGTGCTGGAGGTTCCTTCTCAGCTCCCTCAAGACCTTCATCAAGATGAGGGGCTGGGACAGCAGCACTTCCCACATGGCCATAGCAACACTGCAGACGCAGAGCACTCTGTCAGCAGGGCTGCCTTGGCCACCACACGGTGCCTGGGCCAGTCCTGCAGCAGCCAGGCTGTGCTGCAGCCCTGGCCCTTCCTGACCCCTCACTGGGAGTGCCCAGGTCCCAGATGGGGCAGGCAGGAGGGGGCTGAAACTGTTCCCTGTGGGGCAGGGAGGAAACTCGTGGCAGGCCTCGGGTCTGGCTTGGACAGCTTTGGCTACTGCAGGCCTGGCCAACCCAGCAGGGCAGGAGAGAGTGATGGGGTACAGGGCCCAGCTCCTCAGGGGTGTCCTGCAGTTTTCTGTGGGCCTCCACGTCCCTCTCCCCACATGGAACAAACCCACAAGGGCTGTGGGGGTCAGTACCTGTTACATGCTGGAGAGATATCTATAAGGCTCAAGATCATCTCCCTGGGGTTCTGCTCTGCCATGCTTAGAAACAGCAGCTTCAGGCTGCACCGGGCTGATGCTGTGCTGATGTGCTGCAAGTTCTTATAGATGCAGCGCGTGATGATCCACACCTGGAGAGCACACGGGTGAGGGTGGTGCTGCCACCAGACTGCAGCCATTTCCTCAGCTGCCGCTGAAACAGCTGCCCTTCCCATCCTACTCTACTGGCATGAAATGGCTTCAAGGTGCCTGAAGCACCTGGGTGAGGGGAGATGGGATGTAGGGAGGAACAGTGCCTGGAAGGACTGGAGGACAGGGCAGCCACAGGCTGCTTACCTCTGTCAGCCAGGAGGCAGGTTCTGTCATGGCCACATCCACAATGCTGATCAGTTCCTCCTTGTCGCATGTGCATGAGTCTCTCATGGCCTCGATGGCCCTGAGGACGATGACTGTCTTATCAGCAGGGTGGAGGTATTCCCCAAATGCCTGCAGGAAGGAGGAAGGCGGGGAAGACGTGTTACACTGAGTGCCCTGATAGTGCTGCTCAGCTGGGCAGTGAGAGCAGCTCTGGCGAGAGGACCCACAGGAAAGCTGGCAGCAGGGGCTGCAGTCGCTGCGGGGTGGAGGATGAGAAGAGAGGGGCCCAGGGTGAGGGAGGAGGGCTGGGGCCGTGGGCACGGTGTGCTGACCCTACAGAGAAGCAGGGCTTCCTGGTGGCCAGGAGAGCTGGAGCTGCTGCTGGGACACCGGAGTGCAGCCCTCTGGAGTCCGTGCTCCAGAGCAGCAGCAGCCCTCTCACCAGGGACAGTGAGACCATGCCAAGCCTGCTGGTTCTGGATCCCTTTGCTTGCACCAGTCTCCTGCTGATGCCCTGGACAAGGCCCAGCAAGGGAGAAGCTCATTACCTTTACAATGCTCCTGGCGCTGCACAGGGAAAGCCAGGAGGGTCTCCCAGCTTTCCTTTCGCCTCCACACTGGGGATGCTTTAGGTCATCCTCTGGTGATGTCACACCTAAACAAGAGGGGATCACAGGAGGGTCATTAGGACACAGCATTGCTTACCATCAATGATGGCTTTGGCTATGGGGACCATGGAACTGCTGGGTTCTGAGAGGCCCTGAGAAGAGTGGGAAGGAGAGCAGCAAAGAGCAGTGCCGGACTTGTGGTGAGCACTCGGCTTCTGCAGCAAAACAATAGCTGGGATGCTGCGGGAAGCAGCTGTGAGGGGCAAAGGAGGTGAGGGAAGAGGGCAGGCTGCCCTGGACAGCCTCCAGCAAGCACAAAAAGAATCCACTACAATACTTGGGGAAACAAGCAGGACTATGAGGAGATGTCTGTGTGTGGAGGGATGCAGCCCAACACAGCTTCTCTTACATTTTTGCTGCTGGATGCATCTGCAGAGGTAATGAAGAGTATCCAAAGCCTCATACTGGATCTCCCAGATCTTGCTAGTCCAGCAAACAATGAGATGTCCCAGCAGCTGTCCCAGGAGGCGGTCCTTGCTGATGTCATGGTGGGAAGAGCTGTGGTCGTGTCCAAGCAAGCTCCAGACCTGGGCAAGGGAGGCAGGACAGGTAGAAGGGCTGAGGGGCAGCAGCTGCGACAAAAGCCCTGAACCCGAGAGTGCCCCAGGGAAGGATCCTGGAGGGTCGGAGCTCTGCAGGGCCCTCCCAGAGCAGCGAGCTGGGCAGCAGGGCAGGGAGAGCTGCCAGGCCTGGCCTCCCGCCATGCTCCTTGGGCAGTGCTGCCCTGCACAGGACTGGGGGCCAAGATGGCTGCTGGCAGAAAGGGCACTGGGGAGGAAAAAACATGGGAAAAAGAGAAGCCGAGACCCTCGCCCAGGGCAGAGCCGTGCTGAATGCCTCAGGCATCTTGAGCTGCAGGCTGCTGCCCACGGTGGGCAGGGAATGGGAGACAGCCTGGCTGGAGGGTGCCTGCCTCCTTACCTGCACTGAGGAAGAGCTGGCCATCAAATCAGCCAGCTTTGCGATCCTTGCCACGGCCCGTTCACACACAGCTGGGTGCTTGATGTTGAGTGAAAGGCAGCAGCATCTGGAAGGAGAGAAAGTGCTGCTGTGCCCTGGGAACTGGTGCCCGTGCCAGCAGCAGCAGCAGCAGCACTGCTCAAGTCCTGGCTGGACTCATGCAGTCCTTGTGGCCCTGAAGGGAGGCAGATGCCACCCCAGGGTAGAGTCTGCTTCTTTCTGCGCCCTCCCCGAAAGCACAGGCCTGTGTCCCCTCTCCATGAAGGCTGGGCTTTTGGGCAGCACCCTGCCAGGGGGCGGTGGGGCTGCAATGGGGGAATGGGCATACTGCTCTCTGGGAAGCCAGGAGTGCGGAGCGTCAGGGCTGGGCTCCCTGTGCAGGACAGGCAGGTTCCAGTGGGTCTCTGCCCCAGTCAGACCTGGGCAGAAAAGCAGGAGGGACTGCGAGGCAGGGGAAGAAGGACAGCACCCGCAGCCACTGCTGCGGTGCCTGAGGAGAGGGGTCAATGCTCCCCACTCCTTTGGTGCGAGGAAAGCTCTGGGGATGGAGCTGGCCCAAAAGTGCCATGGGCCGGGTTTTGCCATGGCACAGAAGGAGGCCGCAGAGGAGAAATGACGTTGACTGCAGCCAGGGGACACGCTGCTCCTGGAAGAGCACGGTGGGCCGTGTCTGGGTCCCCTAATGGAGCTGAGCACCCTCTCTGCGGTGTGCTGTGTGCATGGTGCTGGGGAGGACACCGTCCACTCCAGAGTGGACACTCCTGTCCCTCCAGAGTGAGGAACAGCCCCTGCGAACCCCGCTCTCTGCCAGTGCCGCACCTGCAAGATAATCCTCAGGTCCTTGCAGCCAGGGGAGCTGAGCACCAAGCTCTTAAGCAGGATGTCCATGGCATCCAGGGTCTGCAAGGAGGAGAAAGGTTGTGTCAGTCTTTCTGCAGTCCCTCTCTCCCTGGGGATGGATCTAACTCCCAACGCCAGGGGAGGACACCCCTGCCACCTCTGGTTGGCCAAGGGAGGCCTTGGGGCAGACAAGCTGCGGCGGGCAGAGGAGCCAGTCCAGAGGCACTGGACATGGTGAGGCCCAGGGGAAGGACATGAAGGGACGAGGGTGGGAAAGCAAAGCTGACACCCTGCCGTGCCTTGGATCTCTGGCTCTGTCTCAGCACGTGGCAGCCAGGGAGCAGCTCTGAGTGCTCCTGACAGCACAACAGCACTTACCTTAAAGTAGAGGAAATTGTCTAGGCCCTGCATGTCTGTTTTAGGAGGAAGGAAGAAGACACTCCTGAAACAGGCCTCTAAAAGGCTTTTCTTCTTGCCCCCCAGTGCCATCTCCACTTTGCTGAAAAGAGAGAGAGAGGGACCTGTGAGACGCGGGTGCTGGGAGCGCTGCCTCCATGCCTTGGGCAGGTGGACACAGACCTCTGGAGCAGAGGCCCCCAAGCGGGATGGAGCCCTGGTGTGTGGGCAGCATTGCCAGGAGGCACCTCCTCCCTCCTTGGCATGGCCCAGGCCGAAGGACAGTCCTGGCAGGAAAGTCTCCCGCCTCCCACTTTTGGAAGCAGCTGAGACGTGGAGGGGACCTGCAGGATCCCTCTGCTTTCCCCTCCATCTCTCCACAAGCCGCGAGCAGGGCAAAGAGCAGGCCCTCTGAGGGCACCACTGGACTCTGCCGGGATGGGAGATGCCCATGGGCAGGCCCAGGGCCACGGACTGTGCAGAGGTGTCAGCCAAACCAGGGGTTGGGCACATACCTCATATGGGCGAGGGCAAGCATGGCTTGCTGCCGCACGGCCGTGTGCAGGTGGTCCACGGGCTCCTCTTCCACCAGCGCCTGCAGAACACAACCGGGATGGGACCTGGTGGCCGCAGGCACCAGGCGGCAGGGCTGGTGGAGACCCTCTGTCCCCAGCCCAGCACCGGCCCCCAGCACGGCCCTGCTGCAGGGCTGCTCAGCGACACCCGCATCCCCTCAGGCAGCTCAGTGTCTGTCCGCGCACGCTGGTCCCTGCCCTCCCCCTGCATGGGCCCCGTGTGTCCTCACAGTGTGCCGGCGCCTGGCAACTTGCCCCCTTCCCCAGAGCAGCCGGGGGTCCCCTCACCTCGATGTTCTTTGCCACCTGAAATCGGTGGTAGAACTCCTTCAGTTCTTGTGTGAAGCCCTCATCTCTGGCATCCTTGCTCAGGGTGGAGACGGTCTGCAGGAACCGAATCTTCTGAGCCTCCTCCTGGGCAGCCGGGGAGCAGAGACACAAACGGGCAGTGTGAGAAGGGGCCAGCAGGACTGGAGCACTGGGGCTGCAGTGCTGTGCAGGAACCCGGGGGCGCAGCCCCGCCCAGCCAGCAGCCCTGGCAGCAGAGCCGGTGGCCCCGTCAGGAAACGCAGGCACTGCTACCCTGGAAATGGCTGTAATTACCTTCACTGAGCTCTCCAGAAAAGCCTGGATGAACTGCATGGATGCAGCGTGTCCCTCCGCCATCCTCATCAGACAAGGCAAAGGTGTAGCGCGGGGAACGAAGAATGTTCCAAGAAGTGTCTCGGCACCGCAGGGCTGCTGGGGCAGCGGGGAACAACGTGGCCTGCGCTCAGGGGTCTGCGACAGCCTTGCGCTCCCGCTCTGTCCCGTCACTGTCCTGCCGGACACTGGCATGAGCGCAATGACCCGTTGCCTTTTATACGGTGGCCTGGGGGGTCACCTAGGGCACGTCACAAAGGGCACCATGGTGGGTCAGAAAGGGAACGTCACTGAGGGCACCATGGTAGGTCATAAAGGGCACGTCACTAAGGGCACCATGGTGGGTCAGAGAGGGCGTGTCACTAAGGGCAGCATGGTGGGTCACGACGAGAGCGTCGCTAAGGGCAGCATGGTGGGTCACAAAGAGAACGTCACTAAGGGCACCATGGTGGGTCACGAAGGGCACGTCACAAAGCGCCGGTCACAGAAGGCACCATGGTAGCCCACCACTCGGACCGTGAGGGGCACAAGGCCTGTTCTCCCCTGGTCACTTGGGTCCCCCCGGGGTGCCCTGAGCCCCATGTTTCGCTCATGTCGCATGGAATCTTGTTATGGCAAGATAACTGGCGTGTGTCATAATGTTCACAGCCAGACTAGTCAAGGGGTCTCAAAAAGACCATGAGTAGAACTGCACGCGCACGATTCAGTTTAACGTGTGTTAAACTGAAAGCAAATTTTTTCACTTGCTTTTTCTGTTTTTCAGGTACAAAAAAGCAATGATTAGGCTGCATTTTTAGGAAGAAAATAACTACCAAAAGCTTCAACTAGATTTTGAAAATATTCTGTTTCTCTGGATGATAATCAGCAAGTTTTCTGCAGCAATGAGCTCTGCCATTTAGACTCGAGGAAAAATGTTGCTTGATACTAAGCTTTTCTGGAGTAGCGGGTGTCAATTCAATGTGATTTTTGAAAGCATAAGGAGTCTTTTCTGAAAGTGTTTTATGAGCCTGTCCTCCCAACATGGTATCCCCTCATCGCTGGTACCCTGACAATTTTTATCAGGCGGATGTTTCTTTTGGAAAAATCCAAATTTTTTTGAATAATGTTATGTTTCAGAGAGTATGTTCTGGCATCTGCTGAGCCCTGGGGAGGAACAGCTTAATACTGGTTGATAGGCGAGTTTTGATGGGATCCTGTGATTTCAGATTTCCTGAAGCAGGGACCCTAAGTGCCTCAAAAAGCAGCAAGCAGGGATTTCTGCTTGTACCTATCTCTTCTGGAAAGCCCCAGTTATAATCATCGCTGCTCTGCCACAAAGCTGCTTGATCTGTGTGTGCTGCTAGGACCTGTCAGCCCATTGGAGATTCTTCTTCCCTGCTTCACAGAGCTGCATATTAAAGCCTAGGAGATATGTAGACGTCGTAACAGTATCCAAGGAAAACCAATTGAATGACTGGGTCAACTGCTGAGGTGGGGGTCAACTGCTGATTTGGGGTCAATTGCTGAGGTGAGTAGCTGGATAGAGGACGCCTTCAACACCTGAGCGGGGGGAAGCTCAGCGTCCAGGAGCCTCAACTCAGAGCAGCAACTGCCACCGAGGGAGCCTCACGTCCTCGACAGGACTTGCCCAGGAGCCGGCAGCTCAGCTGACCAGAGCGAGCAGGGACTCACAGGGGGCGGTGCCCGGAGGAGCGGCACCAGCCCTGGCTGGTTAAAAACCTGCCCCGGGGATCGCGGCGACCAGGGCGGGTGGAGGCAGTTAGCGCGGGCAGGCCTGCGGGATGGGGAACGCTCGCCTCATGACCAGGGCCTGGTCTGGGAGCTGGGCTCCGGGTGCCCCGGCGGTGGCCAGCGTAGGCACCCAGACAGAGCCGATGAGAGGGGAGGCTGCAGTGCAGAGGTCGGAGTGTAGAGGGTGCCTGCACTGGGCTTGTGAGGGGAAGGTGCACAATGGGCAGGGCTGCACCCGGTGCTCCCTGGTGGAGGTCCTCCTGCAGCAGGGGCTGAGGTGCGGGATGCTGTCAATAGACTGCGAGATGTCAGGGAAGCTGAGAGGAAGCAGGACTGCTTGCTGCAGGCCCAAACTGTGCAGGGGCCTCAAGCGTCCCCTATAGTTCACGGAGGAAAGAAGGAGGCCGTTAACCCAGGAAGCTGGGGAACAGCACCAACAAAAAAAAACACAACAAAAAAAAAAGGAGGAAGAAGACTATTAAAACCAAGGGGCTTCCTCGTAAATCTGTTGTCCCCACCCAGAACCGCTTTGCTGTCCTGCGGGGGGCTGATGAGGAAACACTTGCACCAGAAACAGCCGGCTGGGGCACTGCTAAAGAAGATCACTACTGGTGCTGCCGGGAAAAAGCAGCGGGTCATAGTAGTAGGGGACTCCGAAAGGCACAGAGGCACCCATCTGTCAGCCTGACCCATTCTCAAGGGAGGTGTGTTGCCTACCAGGGGCACGGATCAGAGATGTTGCAGAGAGGCTACCTGCTCTTCTAGTCTCACTATTACCCACTTCTAGTGATCTATGTGGGTGCTAGTGATACAGATAGCAGTAGCCTGGAGAACATAAAGAAGGACTACAGAGCCCTAGGAGAGGTGGTTAGGGGCTCTGGAGCGCAGACAGTCTTCTCATCAATTCTTCAGGATACAGGGGAGGACCCCAAAAAGGCTAGGAGGATTGGCCAGGTTAATAAATGGTTAGAAGGGTGGTACCATAGTCAGGGTTTGGGTATCTTGGACACGGGACCCAAGTAAGTAGGCCAGGTCTAGTGGGGTCTGGTGGAGCTGGTCTGATAAAGAAGGGAAGAACAGTTTTGGTAGGAGGCTTGCCAGACTGCTCAAGGATGCATTAAACTAGATGTGTTGGGGGAGGGGGGCATCATTCCATCCCAACACACCCAGTCAGTTGCCAGCACCTATAATAAACGCTTGGAGCAATGTAGAGATATTCCAGCTGCTCCAGCCAATGAGCCGGCTTCATGTTAGAGCTCGGCTGGAGATGCCTGGGGACAAGTACAAACGCCCGTAATATTCAAGGATCACCCACTACGAGCTCAGGAATGTTGCATCCCAACTAGAAGGAAGTGCAGCAGGAGGGCCAGGAGACCTCCTTGGGTGGATAAGGAGCTGCTGAGTAAACTTGGAAAAAAGAGGCTTATAAAAGGTGGAAGCAAGGACAGGCAGCCTGGGAAGAATACAGGGATGTTGTTCAGGAGGCTAGGGACCAGGTTAGGAAAGCTAAGGCCAAGTTAGAATTAAACTTGACTAGGGATGTTAAAGATAACAGGAAGGGATTCTATAGGTACATCGCAAATAAAAGACAGACTAGGGACAATGTAGGCCCTCTCCGGAAGCTATTGGGAGAACTGGCTACCCTGGATTTGGAGAAGGCTGAGGTTCTAAATGACTTCTTTGCCTCAGTCTTCACTGGCAAAGGCTCTGACCACAGCACCCAAGTCTTGGAAAGCAGATGCAGGGACTGTGAGAATGAAGACCTTGGGCCCACTGTAGGAGAGGATCTGGTTTGAGACCATCTTAAGAACCTGAACGTACACAAGTCCGTGAGACCTGATGAAATCCATCCATGGGTCCTGAAGGAGCTGGCAAATGAAGTTGCTAAGCCACTGGCCATCATATTTGAAAAATCATGGCAGTCAGGTGAAGTTCCTGATGACTGGAAAAAGGGAAATATAACCCCCATTTTCAAGAAGGGGAAAATGGATGACCCAGGGAACCACAGACCAGTCAGTCTCACCTCCGTGCCTGGCAAAATCTTGGAGCAGATCTCTTGGAAGGCATGCTAAGGCACATGAAAAACAACAAGGTGGTTGGTGACAGCCAGCGTGGCTTCACTAAGGGAAAATCCTGCCTGACCAATTTGGTGGCCTTCTGTGATGGGGCTACAGAACTGATGGACAGGGGTGGAGCAGTTGATGTCATCTACCTGGACCTGTGCAAAGCATTCGACACTGTCCCACACAACATCCTTGTCTCTAAACTGGAGAGACATCAATTTGATAGGTGGACCATTCGGTGGATAAAGAACTGGCTGGATGGCTGCACACAAAGAGTTGTGGTCAATGGCTCAATGTCTGGCTGGAGACCAGTAACAAGTGGTGTCCCTCAGAGATCGGTGTTGGGACTGGTGTCATTCAACATCTTTGCTGGTTACATGGACAGTGGGATTGAGTGCGCCCTCGGCAAGTTTGCTGATGACACCAAGCTGTGTGGAACTCTTCATTAGGAGCTGCAGTGGTAGGACAAGGGGTAATGGGTTAAAACTTAAACAGGGGAAGTTTAGATTGGATATAAGGAGGAAATTATTTACTGTAAGGGTGGTGAGACACTGGAATGGGTTACCCAGGGAAGTTGTGAATGCTCCATCCCTGGTGGTGTTCAAGGCCAGGTTGGACAGAGCCTTTGGTTGCGTGGTTTAGTGTGAGGTGTCCCTGTCCATGGCAGGGGGGGTTGGAGCTAGATGATCTTAAGATCCTTTCCACCCTAAGTATTCTGTGATTCTATGATTTTGGGTAATCATGTGATAGAAGGGTTAAATTACTTGACCTGGCACTTTATCCTAGGAATACATTTCACTCAAAGCAAGCAATATTATCCAGGTGGTATTTTGCCTAACAGCCTTATATACCAGTCCCAATGAAAACATCTGTAATATTGACGTCTAATTGTCTGCAGAATAAAATCAAATAAAAGTCCTTGGAACAATCATGGAGGAATCAAAACAGAAAGTCTCGTGTACATTACTAGAAACATCTCAGACTTCACAAGGTTCCTAATTTGGATTCCCTGACATAAAAATCACAGACTGAAACAACACTACTGAAATAATGCTATAGTACAAAAAAAAAATGGTACTTTTAGAAAAAAAAGGCAGTGTAAATGTACTTGGATATACTGACATTAACATGCAATCTGAAAGGATGAAAAAGAATCACTTCCTTCCTTCTGCCACTTTTCGTTCATTAGGATTTAAATATTCAAATAATAAAGCCTTTCTCTTGCTCTTAGCATCTTTTCTGTTCTTGACAATGCAACCCTGATACCCTAACACTAACATAGAAGTTTTCTAATACAGATTTACAGCTAGAAATCTGATTTGTTATTCCGTTCATGTCATTCTGCCCAGAAGTGTTTTGAAGACAACCATTTTAAAGCTGGTAAAGTTGCGCTCCTCTCTG